AAAAAAAAAAAATAAAAAAAAAAAAGAAGAAGAAAAGGAGAGCACATTACAAGATGTCAGACAACCACACGTCACTGAGTGGGAAAAGGGATTTTACACACCACGGGAGACTGGAGCTTAACCAGTTCTCTCTGCTCAGTGCAGCTTTCCAGGGGTTAAGAGAAAGCAATCACACCTATTCACAAACCTGGTTCTCTTTAGGGTTTATTGGTATTTGGGAGGACTGATGTGGAGCTTCACTGGCTCTGTCCATTTCAGTTCAGCAGCACCTGCTTAGGGCTCCAGTGATAACCAAGTACACTCTCACCCCTGTCAAGGACTTGTGGGCCAAACCCTTTCTACCATGGTCTAATGACTTACTGTTATTCTAAGCAAAAGCAGGGATGAAGATATGCCAGTCTAATGCTAGTATGTCCCATTAAATCAAGCACTGTGGTATGCAACACAGACCTTCTCCCTGAGGAGAGGGCTTTATCCTGTAAACCTATGGCTGTCTCGCTGTGAGACAGGGAGGTTCTCCAGATAGAATTTTGTGTGTGTGCTGCTACTGGGCTTGAACTTGGGGTGTGCGCTCTGTCCCTGAGCTCAAGGCTAGCTAGCATTCTACCACTTGAGCCACTGTTTTATTTACGGCTTTTTGATGGCTAACTGGAGATGAGTCTCATGAACTTTGCTGCCTAGGCTGGCTTAACTGTGATCCTCGGACCTCAGCCTCCCAAGGAGCTAGGATTATAGGCATGAGCCACTAGTATGGGGCTCAGAATTTTATTTTCCCTTCTGTTGTACTGAGCTCTCCTAGCCATGCACGGAGTAACTGAGTCCTTGGCTTGTTGCAGTGGGAGGCTTGCATAGTCTGGATTCTTGGATGCCTTCCTCTGTATCTCCATCTCATCTCCCTGTGCATATTTATTTCTGTGCAGTGCTGTTGAGGTGCTGCCTGTTGACCTCATATGTTAGCCATGCTCTGGGTCACCTGCTTTTAACCAGCCCAGTTTTCTCAGGGCCATTTTCTGCCTACCCGTGAACTTCAGTTTTATATATCATGGAACATACTAGCATTAGACTGGCATATCTTCATCCCTGCTTTTGCTTAGAATAACAGTAAGTCATTAGACTTTGGCATAAATGCCAAAAGTAGTTGGCATTTATGCATGATGACCAGAAGTCCTCACAGACCACCAGGAAGGTTCATTCTTATTCTACCACATCACCAACTCCAGGCACCTCCTCAATACACGCCTCCTACCAACTCCCTGAGAAAGGAAATCAAGTGATCTCTCCTCAACATTAAGATACCATGCCAGGCACCAGTGGTGCACTCCTATAATCCTAGCTACTCAGGAGGCTGAGATCTGAGAATTGAGACTCAAAAACAGCCCAGACAAACAAATCCTCTCCCAAGAGACTCTTATCTCCAAATAACCAGCAAAAAGCTGGAAGTGGAGATGTGTCCCAGGTAGTAAGAGTGCCAGCCGTGAGTTAAAAAGCTGAATAAGAGCTCCAAGCCCTGAGTTCAAGTTCAGGTAGACACACACACACACACACACACACACACTCCTGCACACACACACACACACACACACACACACACTCCTGCATTTAACTTTTGAATGTATACACTCTTCTTAGACACACACACACACATTCCTGCATTTAACTTGTGAATGTATACACTCTTCTTACCCTGAGGCCATTCCTTCTGGCTCTTTGGCCCACAGAGCCATCAGTCTCCTCCCTACCCCCTGCCTTTCCTGAGCAGAAATGCATACCTCAGCAGACACCAATTTCCCAGGCTAGGAAGTAAGGCCAGGAGCAGAAACTAGTCCTTGATGATTCTTATAAGCATCTGACAAGGCAGCTCTTTCGCATCAATTATTCAAAAAAGTTTACTGAATACAGGATCTGCCTGAAGCTAGCTTATCCTTTTTCAAGAATTCAAAAAGCTAAAAAATGTTATCAGTTTACTCACTTTAAGCTTCTCTGGCTATTTTCAATTTTAGGGCATCTATTTCTTTATAAATTCAAATTATTCCAAAAAGTATGAAAACAGTGCTGTGTATAAACCTAAAACTTCAGGAATAGCCAATCACTTGTCATCATCATCATCATTCAATCACCAGGTGATTCAGTCATGGAGCAGGCAATCCTGTGGTAGAGAAGGGCAGGAGAAATGTACCTCTCCCAGCCACTGCCAGTGTCCCTACCAGGCAGGCCTTTGCAGCGTAGCCAAATTCTGTCCAATCATTTGAAAAAGAAAGCAGTTGATGATTCACTATGGACACACTGTCTGAATCATTCACCTATGTATGTGCAAAAAAGGCTGATAGTCAGCAAGACATCAGATAGGCAGAAGCAGACACAGGCATTATTAGCACTACAGGGTGCTCAACCACTGAGCTATGCTTTATTAGACAAAAACCTATGACTGACTAAAAACTTAAACACATAATGAAGTCCTTGTAAACTCTCCAACTAGGAGTAGCGCTCTCCAACCCAGAGCTGAGACAATCTACCTGCTGAAGGCTGAACAGGCTACAATCTCTGTGCAACTACTCCACTCTGCTAGGAGACAGGCCAGAGCCACCACCGACAGCCCATAATCAAGTGAGGGAACCTGCCACAGTAAAATCTCAGAAGAGCAGAGACCTGGTCTGATCTGGGCTGCAGCCTGCTTGCTGATCAACTCTTGCTCTAAACAAACCATCATTTTCTACTCAGTATCTCATGCATATTGTAGGACAAAGCAAACAGAAAAGACAGAAAATTCACTTTCACAAGAGAGAAAGTATATGTAGACCCAAAGTGTTTTTGTTTTTTTTTGGGGGGTCCAGTCGTGGGGCCTGAACTCTGGGCCTGGGCGCTGTCCCTCAGCTCTACAGCTCAAAGCTAGCACTCTACCACTTGAGCCACAGTGCCACTTCCGGCTTTTTTCTTTTTGCTTGTGTGGTGCTGAGGAATTGAACCCAGGGCCTCATGCATGCAAGGCAAGCGCTCTACCACTGAGCCACTTTCCCAGCCCCAGACCCGAAGTATTTGATGACTGACATTCACTGTGTTGTATAAATAAGGGTAAGTACTCACTTCATCAATGAAGATGTGTGTGAATTCCATCAAACTCTTAGCACTAACAATCTTCTGAAGCAGGACTCCAGTGGTCATGTAAATTAACTTGGTGTCTTCTGTTGCTATTTTCTCTAGCCCTACCTAAAATTGAGGAGGGAACAGAAAAAATAGGAAACATTCCAGCGTAAATGGCCATTTACCTATTGAAAGAGGCTATGTCCATTTTATACAGGAGGTAAGAAAACTAAAAATTGTAGCCAGGTGTTGGTGGCTCATAACCATAATCCTAGCTACTCAGAAGGCTGAGATCTGAGGATCACAGTTCAAAGCCAGCCCAAGGAAGAAAGTCCATGAGACTCTTATCCCCAATCAACCACCAGAAAACCAGAAGTGAAGCTATGGCTCAAAGTGATTAGAGTGCTAGCCATGAGCAAAATAGCTCAGGGACAGCACCCAGAACCTGAAGCCCCATGACCAATAAAAGTAAATAAATAAAAATTATTGGATTTCAGAATATACATAGGATCCAAATTCAAAGTCAAATTATCAAGTAATTTTTAAAATTATTTTCTAGGTGAAGGTAATGTTTTCATGTTCCAACAACTGTGGATAAAGACACCCTAAAAAATACAAATGAGGGGGAGGATGGAATGGGAAGGGGAAACAAAGGAGGAGGCTACAATGCTTGATAAGAAATGTACTCATTATCTTGCTCATGTAATTTTAACCCCTCTGCACAGTATTTTCACAATAAAAAAATAAATAAATACAAATGAAAGAGCCAGGCACCGGTGGCTCACGCCTGTAATCCTAAATACTCAGGAGGCTGAGATCTGAGGATTGCGGTTCAAAGCCAGCCCAGACAGGAAAGTCTGTGAGACTCTTATCTCCAATAAACCACTAGAAAACCGAAAGTGGTGCTATGGCTCAACAGGTAGAGCACTCGCCTTGAGCTGAAGAGCGCAGGGACAGCGCCCAAGCCCAGAGTTAAAGCACACGGCTGACCAAAAAAAAGAATACAAATGAATAATTGCAATGATAAAATTATAAAACCCACGAACCTGAAATTTTTCATTTCCTTTCTATTCAACTGAGAAAGAAATTTAAGATTCTTTAGTTATTTTCTTTTTTTTTCCTTTTCTTTTTTTTGGGGGGGGTCCGGTTGTGGGGCCTGAACTCTGGGCCTGGGCGCTGTCCCTCAGCTCTTCAGCTCAAGGTTAGTTCTCTACCACTTGAGCCACAGCACCCAGGGCCTCATCGAATCCAGGGCCTCATGCATGCAAGGCAAGCGCTCTACCACTGAGCCACCTTCCCGGCCCTCTTTAGTTATTTTCAAGAAATTTAGTTTATTATTTTGGTGATACCTGAATTTTTATTTAATCTTTTCTTTAATTTTGATTTGTGTATATTTGTGGGGGGGGCACGTGCACTGGGGTTTGAATTCAGGGCATGGGCTCTGTCTCTGAGCTTTTTTACTCAAGGCTTGTGCTCTACTACTTGAGCCACAGCTCCACTTCTGGAGCTCCACTTCTGGTTCTTTGGTGGTTAATTGGAGATAAGAGTCTCAGGGGCTTTCCTGCCCAGGCTGGCTCTGAAGCACGATCCTCATATCTCAGCCCTCGGTGTAGCTAGGATTACAGGTGTGAGCCACCTATGCCCAGCTCCTCTATTTACTCTTCCTGTCACAATTGGATGACAGATGCATACCACTGTACCCAATTGTTATTTGAGTTGGAGTCTTACAAACTCCTCCCTCTTCCTCAGACTGGCTTTGAACTGACATCTTCCCAACTGCCATGTAGCCAGTGTAACAACCATGAGCTACAAATATCTACCAGTTTCACTGTTTTTTATATTATGCTACAGTTCTGTAAGTAAACGGTAGTAGTCTAACATCAACTCATATAGAATATAAAACTTTTTAAAAAGTAAAATTTTGTCACTGTTTTTTATTTCTGTACCCTTTGTCTTATATCAGTTTTGAGGAATGGAAGGGGAATCACAGAAATGGTGGGACAAAGGGCAAACCAATTCAACAGTGATGTCCACTAGACACTATGCTAGAAATGAACTTTACAACTTGGGGAGTAAGTGGGTTGACAGAGAGAAAAGTGGGAGAAAATGAGGGAGGGATAACATTGTTAACAAAACAAAAAAACAGCTGGGCATCGGTGGCTCACATCTATAATCCTAGTTACTCAGGAGGCTGAGAACTGAGGATCATGGTTCAAAGCCAGCCTGGGCACAAAAGTCCGTGAGGCTCTTTTCTCCAATAAGCCACTAGAAAACTGGAAATAGTGCTGTGGCTCAAGTGGTAGAGCACTCGCCTTGAGCTGAAGAGTACAGGGACAGTGCTCAGAGTTCAATCCTCATGACTGACAAAAAAAAAAGTCATTACCTGACTTATGTAACTGTAACCCCTTTATATATTACCTTTACAATAAAATTTAAATTTAAAAAAAAAAGAGGAAGCAGGGCACCTGTGGCTCACCCCTGTAATCCTAGCTACTCAAGAGGCTGAGATCTCAAGATCTCAGTTCAAAGCCAGCCCAGGCAGGAAAATACATGAGACTTTCAGGCGTGGGGCCATGAACTCTGGGCCTGGGCACTGTCCCTCAGCTCTACAGCTCAAGGCTAGCACTCTACTACTTGAGCCACAGCGCCACTTCTGGCTTTTTTTTTTTTTCTGCTTATATGGTGCTGAGGAATCAAACCCAGGGCCTCATGTATGCAAGGCAAGTGCTCTACCACTGAGCCACCTTCCCAGCCCCTCCCTGAGACTCTTATCTCCAATAAACCACTAGAAAATTGGAAGTGGCACTGTGGCTCAAGCGGTAGAGCGCTCACCTTGAGCTGAAGAGCACAGGGACAGCACCCAAGCCTATAGTTCAAGCCCCACGACCGACAAAAAAAAAAAAAGAGGAAAAGTTTGGGAATTTTCTCTCCATGTCTCACCTGATAACCCACCAAGCCACCCAGAGTCCAACAGCGTTCTCTACTGATCCACCTGGCGATGCTGCTAGCGCCAATCTTCCGTGGCTGGGTAACCACAATGTTGCAGTAGGTAGAGCGCTGAATGTAATGGTCCAGGATATACTGGGGCAGTTGAGTACTCTTCCCACTGCCTGTGGCACCATGGATAATTACCACAGAATTGCTTTCTATCAAAGAAATAATCTGGAATTTTGAAAGAAAAGTATATTGCAAAATTAGGACAAAATTGACAGCAATAACTACTAGGAAACCTAACACAGGTGAGCTATGCCCAAGCATACCCTGGGCAGAAGTAAGATCCCAGCTCAAAAATAATTAGCAAAAATCAGAGCTGGAAGCACGGCTCAATGGTAAGAACTCCTGTTTAGCAAGTATAAGGCCCTGAGTTCAAAACCCCAGTACCACTAAAAAAAAAAAAGGAAAGAAAGAAAGAAAACACCAAAGTGGAATTTCTACAGCTCTGCATATAAATTCACTTAAAAATTCTATATACAAATCTGGGCACGGGTGGCTCACACCTGTACTCCTAGCTACTCAGGAGGCTAAGATCTGAGGATTGTGGTTCAAAGCCAGCCCAGGCAGAAAAGTCTGTGAGACTCCTATCTCCAATTAACCACCAGGAAACTGGAAGTGATGCTGTGGCTCAAAGTGGTAGAGCATTAGCCTTGAGCAATAGAGCTCAGGGACAGCGCCCAGGCCCAGAGTTTAAACCCCATGACCGGCCAAAAAAAAAATGTGCATGTATAGATGTATATATACACAATATATATGTAAATAATTTGCATGTGACTTACTGAAAATGGAGCTATTTCACTCAAGTGGTTTTTGTTTTGTTTTTGTCGGTTGTAGGCTTGAACTCTGGGCCTGGGCGTTGTCCCTGAGCTCTTCAGCTCAATGTGGGCACTCTACCACTTGAACACAGTGCCAGTTTTCCAGTTTTCTGGGGGTTAAGTGGAAATAAGAGTCTCATGGACATTCCTGCCCCGGCTGGCTTTGAACCGCAATCCTCAGATCTCAGCCTCCTGAACAGCTTGGATTTCAGGTGTGAGCCACCAGCACCTGGCTTTGTATTTTTTTTAATTGCATTTGCAATTCCTCAGTGAATTTTCAGCAACTAACTTCTTCCTATTTTTCTACTTCTAGATGAGTATCCTAAAATGCCAACCTAGCTCTGACCCCATCAGTTCCCTATTCTCCACTCCACTCCATTCTGAATTTATCAAACCCCTCCCTGGATTTTTGCCTGTACTATGAAGGCAGGAGCTTCAAATCTGGGCCTTGAGACCTCAGCTTAGCTTTTTCACTCATGGCTTGTCTCTACTACTTGAGCCATGCTCTCCACATCCAGTTTCTTGCTGGTTAGCTAGAGATAAGAGTTACTCATATTTGTTAGCTTGGTTTGGCTTTGAGCCTCAATCCTCAAATCTCAGCCTTCTGAGTAGCTAGGATTACAGGTGTGAGCTACCAGAGTCCGAGTAAGCATTCTATTCTTACAGCAACTGATAATGGTCAGTGAATTGAAATTAATCTGAATATTGGTATATAAAAATTAATATGTCTACTCTAAGTTGTATGATTCAGTATGAAGCGAAATAAAATGAAACTTAGAACAATTTAGAACATCCCTTTATCTAATTGCTTTTACTACTAGTATAGTTAATAAAGGTTCCAATGACTTACTTTTTTTTTTTTCCAATGACTTACTTTTTTTTTTTCCAATGACTTACTTTTAATCACATCTAATGACATGTTAACTTACTAGAAACTTAACCACTCAACAGCTCCATCTGTCCTGGCATTGACAATAAAATGATGTGTCAGTCAATGAACAGAAAAGGGGTGACACATCAAGGAAACCCCGCAGGGCACACGCTCTCTTCCTAAGGAAGCCTGCAGTGAGTCTCTGAAGGAAGCACTGGTAGAGCAGGCAGGTCTGCCGACGGTGCACAGGGACAGAAAGGGCAGGCTGTGGGTCCAAAACTAGCACAGAGCAGAGGGAAATCGCAGCTATCATCTCGCAGCATCAGGCTAGCCTCCTCTGGGCCAACCTCGAAGCCCCGCACCCTGTGGCCCACACCCCACAGCCCATTTGCACATTGTAAGCCAATAGGGCTGGGCTGCAGACAGTGACTGAAAGCAAAACTACATTATAGTAAAACTAAATTTACCTCTTCCTTACATCGATTTATAGGCAACTCAGGATATTTATAAGTTGTCTCTGTGATACATGTCACATTGCTTAACTTAGCCAAAGGCAGCCTTGGACCTGGATGCAGAGAAAACAAATAAAATGCTGTATCTTATCTGAAAAAAGACAAAATAAACAAGGCAATATTATATATATATATATTATGTATGTACACACATACCTACATGTGTATCTGGCATACCTACACACATGCAAATGCAATGACATGCTCTACAGATGTAGCGTGCAAGCAGGCTCACTACAAACCTGAAAGTCCACTACTTATCATGCAAACAAGCAAACAGAGCTTCCATCCTGCCATCACAACCACCAACGGTGGTGATCTGCCGTGCCTCCTAAGGCAGCCAACGCATGACACACAACACTTGTCACGTGACTAAATAGAAGTCACGAGTTTGTTACCAGATATTCCTTGCTACTGAAAGAAATCAATATCAATAATGACATTAAATAAATCAAACAACTTACAAATTACAATTATGGTGAAAAGGGGTAACTGTACTTAGCTAAAAAAAATACTAGAAGAACAACAGAGGAAGTCAATATGACCAAAGTACATAATGTACAAGGTATATCAAAAAGAAACCACTGTGTACAATTAATACACACTCTAACCATCCCACCTATCAGTGTCCTCCTGTAAATCCACGCTGCTTGGTTACAGGACAAACCTAAGGGGCGTCTTGCCCCCACATGACCAGCTGAGGAGGCAGCAAAATTCATGGATGATTCCTTTCACTGGAAAGCAAACTGTACTCCCAAAGTAAGTAAACCCTTAAACCTCCAGTCTCTCTCCCAATTCATTCCTCTTCTTGCCCCCCTTCCCTTCCCCTTCTTTTTATCTCAACAGCTCCTCCCTGCCATTGTCCCATCTGATAAACACACAGCCATGACTTTCATAACTACTCTACTAATACCTAATTAAAGTGTGGCTATTTTTCTATAGGTATTTTTTTCTTTTCTAGTGCTGAGGATCAAGCCACAGGCTTTACATCCCAGTACCCTATTTTCCTGTGTGTGTGTGTGTGTGTGTGTGTGTATGTATGGTATATGTACGTGCATAGATAGTATGTGTGTTATGTGTGTGGTGTGTATGTAGTATGAAAGTTCACATGCATATCACACACACACATACACACATACACACACAGAGGGGGGACCGGGAATGCTGCTAGGACCTCCAAAGCCTAAAAAAGCAGTCTTGCACAGAGCCACATCACAACCTCTTTTTCCTGTATCTGAACAAAAGTTCTTGTTTTCAATCTCATCAACAGAGTTCTGTTGTAGCTTCAATGTAACAAACACCCCTCAGTGGGAACATGTTCTTCCTGAGGCTTTGTGAGCTCAGAAAAAGCTCCTGGAAAGTCCAGCCTGGTCGGGCTTCCCAGGCCTCTGACTACCCCTCACCTAGGCTCACGGACTTGGGGACATTACAGGACCACACCTCCCTCTCCTCCACCCCCTCCCAGCCTGCTCTCGCTCTAGAAAGACAATCAGGAAGCAGAAGACCCTCCTGATGGTGGGGCAAGGCAGGGGAACAGCCTGGGACTGACAGGGAGTGAGTGCGAGGGGAGAGGTAACAGGTTTCTTTGAGGAAGACAGAAAAGGAGATAGCTGTATGTTGTGCGAAGGCACAGCGCATCCAGCCCTGCCTGGTTCCCAAGCTGCTGCTACATGAGTCCTGATAGTTGTGACAATACAACTGTGACTTACATTTTGAAGGTTGCTACTTAGAGACAGAAATTTTACAGGAAATAAAATGTCAAACTCGCCGCACTGTCTGAAAGATAACCCTTGTCCATGTGGCACAGAAAACACTACCTGACATTTTGAGGTCACTGGCTGGAGCAGACCCTGCACAGAACAAGCCCCACCTCCACGCCCACTGCCCCAGGGTAAGAGCAGAAACATTCACAACTGTGTGGCTCTAACAGCTTTGTGCTAACAACAAAGGAAAAGGAAAAGCATCAAGGATAATTTAAGGCAAATCAATTGGTAACATATGCCAAAGTGAAGCCCAAAATAACATAAAAATATCCCCAAATCTGTTATTCTCTTTTTTTCCATAATCTCTTTACCCTAGGTTATTAACATTAAAAGGTTTTACTTGAGCTAGGAAAAAATAGAAACATAAAAAGAGTTAGTTCTCTTCCCTTGGCTACCCCAACATAATACCATTGACCAGATTTTTTTAAAAAACAAATTTCTGTAATTAGAAGTTCCAGACAGTACATACAGATTTAAATTAATGAGCAATGCGTTAGCTCATATAGAGAACATGACAGCATTTCTTGTCTTATAATGCATACAGAAAATAAGTTGAATAGTTGCATTTCTAGCTTAACCATGAAATTAAATATTTAAAATAGATAATTACAGGTCCCTTTCTCCAAGGATGGGTGGTATTTTGCATGCAAAGCTATACTTCACTCCAAGAGGGAGGAATTTTGTCTTTTCAATTCAGTAGAAAAGCTAAGGATGGAGGTGGGGGGAAACCACTAAAAATATCCCAAACCAAAAAGGAGGCTTTACTGTGACACACCAGGACAAGTTCTAAGCGGCCAAGTGGACAAGAGCCCTGAGGAGTTCAGTCTGGAGCCAGGCTCCCACTGTTAGGAAAGATTCCATTTCTCAATGCTATTCAGACACTGCATTTCCTTAAAACTACATAAAATGATTCTCCTGCTCCCCTCAAAAACCATGAGACTGTACTCGGTCCATTTGGAAAATCTTGCCACCTCAAAATCCTTAAGGCCCTTTTACCATGAAAGTAGCACATGTAAAGGTTGTGGGGAGTAGAACAGGGACCTCTCAGGAGGAGCTATTATCCAGGCTCCTACACCCATCCTACTGCCCTTCAAGAATGGCCCTCCTTCAGAGCTGGATGGCAGGCTTTCTCTCATCAAAAGGCTTCTGCACAGCTTTCCCTCGACCCTAACTCCGCTCTGCCTTGCTATGTCCTACCACCCACCCTCCCACTCTAAGCCCAACTCTCCCTCACCTGACAGGCTTATTTTGTACCCCTAGAACTATCTTTCAGTGCTGTACACAAGTATCACAAAGCTATAACTGGTACAGAACCAAACACTAGGAAGATAACTAAATCACCACACTTCCCCCTGGGAAGGGGAACTTAAGAATGACTTGTTACTTTTTATTTTACACATTTCTGCTTTAATTTTTTATTTAAGACTCTTTTAACAACTTTGTTGTTTTGTTCTTTTGTTGACAGTACTAGGGATTGAACTCAGGGCCTTGAGCTTTACTTGCTAGACAGATGCTCTACCACCTGAGCCAATGCATCAGTCTAAAGTGTCTAAATTAACCATTATTAGTTTTCCAAACTATATTTAAGATAGACAAAAAACTGTCATACATCCCAAAAGATACCCTGAATTACAAAGTAATATGGATTTCTTACTTTGACTAATACTATATTAAACATTTTAGAATATAATGTTTTAACATATAAATTACTCATACTTTTTTTTTTGTCAGTCATGGGGCTTGAACTCTGGGCCTGAGCACTGTCCCTCAGCTCTTCAGCTCAAGGCTAACACTCTACCACTTGAGCTACAGCGCCACTTTTGGTTTTCTGGTGGTTTATTGAAGATAAAAGAGTTTCACAGACTTTCCTACCCAGGCTGGCTTTGAATTGCAATCCTCAGATCTCAGCCTCCTGAGTAGCTAGGATTATAGGCGTGAGCCACTGGTGCCCGGCTACTCATACATTTTATGGTATTTAAAAATAACTTGTTACCTGGTCCACTGGTTGGTGGATCACTGCCATACATATCGAGTTCTTGTGCTTCAAGTTGTCTGTACTTGTTAATGTACTCTGTTTCTGAGCTCTTCTGGCTGAGTGACCTAAAAGGAATAGCAAAATTGGGCTATTTCCAAGAAGCTATCACACTTCTCTGTGTGCCTGAGAAATTCCAAACATTATTATATTGGTACGGATAAAATGCAAACCATCAGTAAGCAAATGAAAATATGCCCAATTCCAAGTGACCAGATAAAGGCATATTAAAACAACAGGAATACACTTTTCATCCACTAAGTTTGCAGACAGTGAAAACTCTCGGGGGGAGGGGAGAGGCTGGGAAGGGATGTGAAGGGTAAACCAAAGGAAGAGGCTGCAATGCTTGGTAAGAAATGTACGCATTATCCTGCCCATGTAATTGTAACCCCTCTGTACAGTATGTTCACAAATAAAAAATAAATTAATTAATTAAAAATTAAAAAAAAAAGAAAACTCTCTGCACATTTATGTGGGAGGGCAGTGGTGTGACCATCATCTTAATGGGCAATCTGCAGCACCTCCCAAATACTAACCTATCACTTTGCCTCAATCTTCCTTATTGGAAATGCTCACATGTAAACAAAGGCACATGCGCAGACACACAGAAGCTTCTGCTTCTAGCAGTGGAAGGTTACCTTTATGTGAGGCATTGTCTTAGTCACAAGGGATGGTACCAAAAGTCTTGTCCCCGTGAAACTGGGGTTTTGTTCCCTAGAACAAAACCCCAGTAAGACGCTGACTAGTGATATGGAGAAAAATAAAACAGCACAAGGATATAAAGAATTACAGGAACTAAGCTCATGCTTCTAATCTTATCTGCTCAGCAGGATGAGATCTGAGGATCAAAGTTCAAAGCCAACTGAGCAGGAAAGTCCATAAGACTTTTATCTTCAATTAAGCACCAAAAAACCGGAAGTAGAGCTGTGGCTCAAGTGGTAGAGTGCTAGCTTTTAGCAAAAGAAGTTCAGGGACACTGGAAGTGGTTCTGAGGCTCAAAGCACAAGCCCTGAACAAGAAGAGTTGAAGAAAAACTCCCAGAACCCATTTTCAAGCCCCACAACTGCCTAAAACAAAATAAAGCTTAGGAACACAACCAGACCCTGAGCTCAATCTCCATTTCTGGCACACACACAAATAAAAAGAATTCCAGGAGAAAGGACATCTTTTCATAACATTAGTAATAATCGAACCTTTGTACAATTCTGTGAAAATAACAATAAAAATAGTAAGATAACTGAAAACTGAAAAAATGTCCAACTTAAAACTATTGGGTGGGGAGGATTGGGGGGGGGAAGATGGGAAGGGATGGGAAGGGGAAACAAAGGAGGAGGCTACAATGCTTGATAAGAAATGTACTCAAGGGGCTGGGAAGGTAGCTCAGCAGTAGAGTGTATGCCTTGCAAGAAATGTACTCATTATCTTGCCCATGTAATTGTAACCCCTTTGTACAGTATTTTCACACAAAAAAAATGACAAAGGAAAAAAAACTATGGTACACCCCTCCTTAATACATATCATTTTTAATAATGTCATAGCTCTATTCAGGATATACATCACAACTCCCAAAATTTTACCTTAAGTAGATAATTTTAATTATGTATAGACCATGTATATTGTTATCAGTGGCTAATTTATGTACACTGTTGACAGAAAAGAAGCTTTACAAAAATGATTCCTAAAATTTGAGACAATGTAACAGTAAATTTTGTGTTCATTTAAGTGGGATAAGGGATGTCTAGATATCTGATACCATTTCCAGCTATATCTTGTGCTTCTGAAGAGATTGTCATCTGAACTAAGAAACTTTTTTTTTTTAATTGGCCATGGGGCTTGAACTCTGGCCTGAGATAGCACTCCACCACTTGAGCCACACTTCTGGTTTTCTAGTGATTAACTGGAGGTAAGAGTCTCACAAACTTTCCTGCCTGGGCTGGCTTTGAACCACGATCCTCAGATCTCAGCCTCCTGAGTAGCTAGGATTACAGGCGTGAGCCACCAGCACTGGCTAGAGACTTCCTTCTCTTGCTTGTGGATACTCAAGTTTATCTAGCACCATTTGTTGAAAAAAATTTCTTCTTCCCAATAAATGTACTTGGCATCCTTCTGACTATTTATACTCAGGGGTTTACTGCTGGGCTCTCTATTCTACTATCTGTATTCCTTTATGTAGTAGTACAATGCTTTAAGTGATGTAGCTTTGTACTAAGTTTTTTTGTTGTTTTGTTTTGTCGGTCATGGGGCTTGAACTCTGGGCTTGGGCACTATCCCTCAGCTCTTCAGCTCAAGGCCAGTGCTCTACCACTTGAGCCATAGCGCCACTTCCAAGTTTCTAGTGGTTTGCTGGAGGTAAGAGTCTCACAGTCTTTTCTGCCTGGACTGCCTCTGAGCCACATCCTCAGATCTCAGCCTCCTAAGTAGCTAGGATTATAGGCATGAGCCGCCGCCACCCGGCTTGTACTAAATTTTTAAGTCAGGAAGTGTGAGTTCTTTTTCAAGATTGTTCTAGCTACCTGTGTCCCTTCCTTGAAATCACACATGAATTTTATAAAGAGTTTTTCTATTTCAAAAAAATAGTTATTGTATTTTCAACAGAGATTGCATTGAATTTGTACCAACACCTTAATATAAAACCTTCTAACATAAAAACAGAATGTGTCTCTACTTATTTGCATTAATTCTTTAAACAATGTTTTGTACTTTTCATTAAAAGGTTTTTCCTTTCTTTGGCTAAAAAGGGAAAACTACTTAGTTTTCTCTTTGGTGCTTGTATAGATATTCCTTCTCAGGTTGTTCAGAAATATAACTGAATTTTGTGTGTTGACTATATCCTGCTATTTTATTAACTCATTTATTGGTTCAATAGGTTTGGAGCTTCTTTGATGTCTTCTAGATATAACATAATATCATCTATAAATAGGTAATTTTACCTCTTATCATCCAAGTTAGATGCTTTGTCAATCTAATGATAGAGATTCTCAAATGACAAGTTCAACTGACAATAAGCATGACAGTTGCAAACATGAGACAGTAAACTACTGGCCTATTCAGGAGGCAAGAGGAAGATGAGATTGTGTTTTATGCATGCTCTCTTTTTCAGTACAGTGAATCACACTCAGGACCACATCGATGCCAGGCAAGCACTCTACCACTGGGCTCAGTCCCCAGTCACAAACAAGGGATTTTTCTGTCTGTTGGGAGTGTTGGGGTTTGAATCCAGGGCTTCATGTTTGCTAGCAGGTGGTCTTGCTACCTTTTCTTTGCTTTTTCTTTTCTTTTGGTCAGTCATGGGGCTTGAACTCTGGGCTTGGGCGCTGTCCTTGAGCTCTTCAGCTCAAGGCAAGTGCTCTACCGCTTGAGCCACAAGGCCACTTCCGGTTTTCTAGTGGGGGGGGGGTTCTATTGGAGATAAGGGTCTCACGGACTTTCCTGCCCGGGCTGGCTTTGAACCACAATCCTCACATCTCAGCCTCCTGAGTAGCTAGGATTACAGGTGTGAGCCACCAAGTGCCCGGCTTCTTTTCTTTACCGGTACTGAAGCCTGACTCAGGACCTCAGACTTGCTCTGCTTTTCCATTCATGGCTGTCATTCTACTAATTGAACCACACTTCCACTTCTGGCTTTTAGCTAGTTTGTTTTTTGGGGTTTTTTTGTCCATCATGGGGCTTGAACTCTAGGCTTGGGCACTGTCCCTCAGCTCTTCAGTTCAAGGCAAGCGCTCCACCACTTGAGCCACAGCGCCACTTCTGGTTTTCTAGTGCTTTATTGGAGATAAGAGTCTCACAGACTTTCCTGCCTGGGCTGGCTTTGAACTGTGATCCTCAGATCTCAGCCTCCTGAGTATGAGGTAGTTATTTTGAGGTAAGAGTATCAAAGACTTATCTGCTTAGGCTGGATCCAAACTTCGACCCTCAAATCTCAGCCTTCCCAGCCTAGTTTTATAGGCATGATGCACTGGCACCCTGCTACATGGGTTATTTTTGAGATAAACTCTCACTTTTTATCCTGGCCACTGCCAGGACCACGTTTTACCTATTCTACACTTCCCATTGTAGCTAACATGACAGGCATGCGTCACCATGCCCAGGGCCTTCCACTGAAATGGGTATCGATAACTTTCCTGCCAGATGTAGCCAGGAACCACGATGCTCCCAGCCTCAGCTTCCTGCATAGCTCAGATGACAAGCATGTGCCAACACACAAAGCTATTGGTTGAGAAGGAGATTTCATCAATGTTTCTGTATGGCTAGCCTCAAACTGAATTCAGCCTCCAAATAACCAGGATTTTTGAAGCATGAGCCACTGGTGACCAGCTAAAACAAGAATTTTTAAAGTAAAATGAAGAAAAAGAAAACATGGGTTACTGGGCTTTTCACCGGAGTTGATTTAGTTCAAGACAGTGTAAGACAGTTTCAGGCAAAGCAAGTGTTCTTATAAATCTGTTCAGCTGTCTTTGAACTCACAGAGCAAGCTGAAGTGGGAAAAGTCTTTTGTAAAAGTTCTACTTAGCCTTCAGTGAGGCTTTGTAATACCACAAGCATGCACAAGTGGTCTTCCTTGAATCTATTTTGTGTTTGACACAATGAGTCCATCTTGATTTTGAAAACATTCCCAATTTTTTTTTTTTTTTTTTGCCCAAGTGCTCTGGGTATAAGTTCCAATGCTACATTGAAGTGGTGAGACTGGGCATCCTTGTTTTGTTCCTGATCTTAGGAGAAATATGTCAATAGTGGACTTTTCACAAATGTCATTCATTTTCATATGTGGCACTCATATATGGTTGACAGTTTATCTTTACATGTAGTTTGCCAAGTACTAAAACCACCCCCAAAGAAATGTGATCTTTGAATTTCAAAAATTGAACCAACAACCCAGAAATTTAATTTCTATAGCAAAAGACCTGAAACCAAAGATTCTTCTTCTCACAATGAAAAAGACTTTCATTGCAATCCAATGCCCTTAAAACCTGTATTCGAGAGCCTTGACTTTAATGCCTGGAAGGTTGTTCCTGGCACGTTAGTTTGCCTTCCAAGGTTCCTAATTTTGTATTTCCAGACTTAGTCTTTT